CTGGTTCCCGGTACCTCCGATTTATGTCACACAAGTGCGAGTAAAATTGCTGTTGATGCCAATTTCCAACGAATGACAAAACATTGGTAGTGTTTGCCGTCGCGAGAGTACCCTCGACTGAACGAGAAGCAGTTGGAATCGCTCGGCTTCATGTCGGGCGAATGGGTGATTTAACACAATACTGAACCCAACGTCTCAGTATGTTTTTGTCCCAGCACTCCCCTACAAACAGTTACTCGGGCCTGCATTATGACGAGCAACGTCTACTGTTGTAGTTTGTGTGGTATTATCCATTTGTGATCATCATTGCGTTGGAATAACAATATACACCGACAACGATCATTCTCTGTATAGAGCCGCTGAAAGCCACAGTTTGGGAATCCTTCGTTATGATGATCATCCACTTGCGCTTTACGTAACTCATTCATGGTAGAGTCAGCGGCGACTTCTCATCTTCATTCATACAAAATTAGCGATTGTGAGTTTTGTTCGAGTCCCAAGAACACCCACATTTCATCTGTGGCCCGGGGCTCGTTTTCTCAGTCGTGAATGACACTCATGCTGAGAACATTACTGCTAGAGGTACATCAGAATAGGTACTGCGTTCGCTGCTTCTACAAGAAAATTGTAGGGCTCCCATGCGAACACCCTCTTGACCATCCTCAGGTTATCGGACATAACTCGGGCCAGCAATTGCAGCTGGACGTCAGACTCACCGGGAAGCTCGACAAAGGTCCACCAGGCTCTTTTATCAGATATTCAGCGCTTTGACTTGACCCACCCTTTTTTCTTGCTAGAATGAAAATTTATCGAGCATCGGCCTCCTGAACCAAACCTTCCACCATTATCTCGAGAATGCCAAGACAACTAATGGCCGCGCGCCGGTCGAATTTGAGCAGCGCCACTTCCCTCTTTATGACTTGCGTTTGAAAATCGGCGCTGCCTTTCACCACTCGGGCTTCTTTTCATTGAGAACTTCGTCTGTGAGAGGTTCGGCAAAACTTCTCAGATACACAGCTAAGAGTACTAGCCTCCGAATGATATAGTAGCCCGCTGCCCTATCCCCTTTGCTTTTCTGTTATTCCTCTAAATGTCACGGCACTTTTGAATTTGATACATCAATAGGTGCCACTATTTCGCTGCGATCTTTCAGCGAAGTGTTAAGTATTTTGCAGGGAGGCTTGTCTGTAATCTGCCACTCTAAATCGCTATGCCCGCTTTTCGGCATTCTTGTTTTTTTCCAAGTCATATCGTCGACCAGCGAAAGTACGCGCTTTCTTCAGCGGGTGTAGTAGGAAAGTGGGCTGAAACAATCGACGGATGGTTGCAAAAAACTTAACGGTAACGGTCGATCTATTACGATACCGTAAGTTGCAAAACTCTGTCGCACCGTTGGACGAAGCTAGTACCATCGATCTCAAGCTATCGACCCTTAATAATTGTAGTACACCTTATTCACATTTCTCCAACAATAGTGACAGCCCCCTCAGGACGTTAAGCTAACTGGGCTTCAGGTGAGTGGAGGTTTTCACAGAGACGCGATCAGCCGCAATAAATAACTTCGTAATGTATACTTCAGTCTTGATCAACAACGTTAGTGCGTATCTTATGAGGTGCCTCACTGTCGCGTTCGCTAGGTGTATGTATGTGGGAGTACCATGCTTCAGGGACAGAGAATCCATGAAGCAATGGAAAATCCAATTCAGAGAATAAACTAAAATTGAGGCTTCAGCAGTAACCGTAAGATCTAGTGTCTCGCAATGTGCTTCCATTCATAGGGAGTATTGTGCGGTGCACGCGATTGCGAGCTTCATCCAGTTGGTAGAGAGGTCATATACAAAACCATTACTTGTTATGATGTTAGAGAATGGACTCATGGGAGCATTTCTGCCGACCAACTAAGTTTTAGTGGGAGGAGCTGACAGCAACGGTCTCAATGCCGATGGCCTGGCTACCGTGGAATGCTTTGATCCTGAAGGAACGTATCCTGTATGGCAGAGCGTCCCCTCTATGACGAAGCGAAGGTACAACATGGGATGATAATAATGCTCTTCAACGGCACCCTTTTATAGGGCAGGAGTCGGTGTTGGTGTTGTCGACAACTTGCTCTACGCTATTGGTGGTTGGGGTGGCGAACATTCGAGTAGCGTTGAAAGGTATAACGCATTCTCCAACTCATAACTACATTAGAAGAATTATGTTCAAGTTTCTCCTCCATTACGATGGAGACTCGGTCAGTTACATTTTTTGCAGATGGTACCGAAATATGAAGTTCCCTTTGTTATAGTTGGAAGTGATTTATCTCATTTAATCCGCAATCAATTTCACCTAAATGACCTGCTATGGATGCGATTCACTTCTCGAATGCAACGATAGACGATGGCGACCAATTTTTATATATATTCTCAAGCGTTCAAGAGACCCAATGTATTGGGTTGGCACTCTTTTCCACCATATTCTTAGAAAGCGCAAGACGTTCTGTATGAAGGTTTTTTTATGGAATTTATGGGGCCACTCAGAGAGCCAGAAATCCTATTTGAAAGCGCTGAAAATCGAGTATATGCTACTTCACCGCACGAAGTGCTCATTTCAGTTAGCTAAAAACCCTTCTTTTTGACGTCATTCTTGAATTTTGCAAATAGTGAGGAAAACAGGGCTCCATAAATTCGGCTCGTTGTGCTCGTGTGGTCCGAACTGAACCAGGGCTTTGTATTTTTCGCACTGAAAAGGCTACATTGTCCGAGAATGACATCGAGCGAAACTCATCCATTTTCAGAGAAACTGGCACCGTAATGATCAGCATCGTTCAGGAAACACAACTAGCTAAGTTTAATCACTTCTTACGCGACACAGTACATTATTCGATTCCTGAATGATTCAGTTCCCAACGATTACCCTCTGGTTACAATTATAGCGAGACTCGTCGCTAACGGGTATCCTCGGGTACTTTGATAGGGAGCAGTGATAAATTTTCGACTTATCCACTTTTTCAGAATGCTATCTTATAGAGCTCGATGAGCTCAGTCTAACCGTGTAGAATTCTATATGAGAAAAGTTTACGCGAACTGAATTATAGCCTGTAGCGGAATCTGACCGGTTTTCAGAAAAAAGCTGAAGACCTACCTACCGAAATTCGATGTTTCATACACCGTTAGACTCGCCACGCAGAGATGAATCTAAATATATCTGTTGCTTCTCCCATAACCATTTTTGAAAGAAGTCATGACAGTGCGGCGCTTTGGGGCGCTTTGCGGCGGTCTGCGGCGGATTAATCCGCCTTTTTTCCAAAAATTAGGGGCGGTATTGTAAGTAATGGCGTTTTTTTTCAAATGAAAATTTTGTTCCAAAAGTGAAATGTTTTGCAAGCGAGCCTGATATCATCTGATAGGAAACTTCACGTAGTTTTGGAATATCAAAGCGGCTTTGATTGAGGGAATAATTTTTGTGGATTTTTTAGTCGTTGAATTTGAAAACGAAAACGGCGAAAATTAGCACCTTCGACAACTGCCTCTATTTACGTATAGCCGTAGTGCTAAAATCGCTTAAGCTGCTCCATACATTTGGAAAAGGTCGGGCTAGAAATTCCAGCAAGGGAGTCTCACTAGGACGCTTTGGAACGAATTTCAAGAATTTTGAAGTTACCAACCTTCACCTCGCCGATATTGGGCAGCTCACGTCTGTTCCACCTGAAATTTTATGCTAATATTTGAATGTTTCGCTGATATGTTTTGCATGTTCTGATAGCAAATTTCGTGCTCTATAACACTGCTATAGAAGTCTGTTCTCCAGAAGTGTTTGATTTCTGTTAAGTTCAGGTTATCATTACGGAACGCGAAGTCGTTGAGAACTAGGATTCCCGTTCTCCACGAATTTTATGCTAACATTTGAATGTTTCGCTAATGTGTACTATATGTTCTGAGATAGCCAATTTCCGTGCTCTTATAACATTGCGTTGCAGTTATTTTGAAAATCCATGTGATGAACCTTGTTTTTCAGGTGGATAGTATGCAATGTCAGGTCGATAAAGCATCAGCACTTCAGAGATCTCCTCCCTTTTCGCATTCAACAGAGGTATCAGAGCTGCTGATGCGCTCGGAAATTCGCTAAGAGCTGTCCTGACACTAATGTGTTACTCTAAAGCCTTACTCAAACCATGGCGATTCAATTGAGCCTGCTCTAGGAGCTTTGAAGCTTCAGTGGACAGCGGTTGAGAGAGGAAGTCGGGAACTCTTATTTCTCATCGACCTCAACGTTCGCGTAAAGATAACCTGAACTTAACAGAAAGTTAACAGCTCCGGAAAAACTAATTTATTTATGTTATTTATAGAGCACGAAATCGGCTATCAGAACATATAAACATCATTAAGCGAAACATATAAATGTAGCAATAAATTCGTGAGAAAACGCTACTTCTCAACGACTTCTCGCATTCCGTAATGCATAACCTGCAGCTTAAACAGAAAAACAACACCTCTGGAGAACAGACTTCTATAGCAGTGTTATATACCATGAAATTTGCTAATTCAGAACATTGCAAAACATATCAGCGAAACCGTTTAAATATTAGCATAAAATTTTAGGTGGAACAGACGTGAGCATGCCCAATATCGGCGAGGTGGAAGGTTGGTAACTTCAAAATTCTTGAAATTTCGTTTCAAAGCGTCCTAGTGAGATTCCCTTGCTGGAACTTCTAGCTCGGCCTTTTCCAAATGTATGGAGCAACTTAAGCGATTTTAGCACTTCGACTATACGTAAATAGAGGCAGTTGTCGAAGGTGCTAGTTTTCGCCGTTTTCGTTTTCAACTTCAACGACTAAAAAATCCAGAACAAAAATTAATTCCCTCAATCAAAGCCGCTTTGACAATAAAACTACGTGAAGTTTCCTATCAGATGATATCAGGCTTGCTTGCAAAACATTCACTTTTGGAAAAAAATTTCCATTTGAAAAAAAACGCCATTACTTATGTGCCAACCCAATAATTGGTGGTGGTATTTCTGCATAAAGATCGCCAGCTTCGTCGTACGAAGAGGACCGAGTGGCCACACTGAGCGAAAATTTCCCCTCCCCCCTAGTAGTCAGCTGTCCAACGTTTCTATATACAACCCGTCTTACAGATTGTCAAGAACACATTTGGTGTGTTCGGAAATTGAAGCCATAAGAGCAAAATTCTTCTGCTGTTCAGCTGCTTCCAGTTGCTCAGCGACACGCAAAAACATTTCAACTTTCAGAGCGAAGCCGAGGGTGCAAGTGCATATATGGCCTATGAGTAATGGCGTTTTTTCCTTACAAATTTCTATATGGAAAATGACAACTGTTCCCAATGTGTCCTTCACTGTTTAATAGATAATTTTCCGCGCTTCCATAAGTTGGTTTGAGAGTCTCCTATATTTTTTTTTCTCGATTCCTATGCGATTGTCGCATATTTCATTGTAATGAAACTCGGTCGAATCAGAATGTGAGTTTTTCGACAGAAGCTTTTGCCACTTTTGCGACCAAACTTAAAGGATACAATGGAGACTACCTTAATAGGGCAAGGAAGAGTTTCTCTTCAAAACTGTATATGACTCAGTGGGGAAATTTTCATCTTCAGCGGCGATATTTTGAATAAGAAAAAAAACGCCATTTACTTCGGGATGAACCGCATAAGAAAAGTACCACATTCATCCATCCGTAGAGAAGGTAGTACTCTATTGGCCCAGTTCCACTGCAACACATGCATCCCTCCGCCGGCCCATTTGCTCTCGCTACCAGTTTTCCCGCTCTCGGGCTTGATTCGGTAATTTTGACTGGAGCCCTTTCACAGCAGATCAGATTCATAATCCTGTCCGCCCATTCATTTTTTCCAGCATTCTCCATTATCCGGGCTCTTGTGGGAGCGCGAATCGCGAATTTTTGAAGCTTTTCGGAGGCAAGCACCCGCATACTTATAGCTTACTACCGCCACAATAGGCTTGTTTCCTCACTTCGTTTCGGCAACGGTTTGCCTAACATTGTCACATTTTCCACTCTCGAGCTCCACATATCCAACTCCACAGATCGGGGACACACACACACGCACACAGTACACACATACACACACACACACACACATACACACACACAATCGTTTATTTAGTAGGATGTTTGATCTTCCATCGCGTGCCGTCGAATCACGCAAACAGTTTCTTCATACATTTCTCTTGTTGAGCAGATATAACCAGAGAATCATGGAGATGATAAAGGAAGGAGATTCAGATTCGATCCTGTTACAAACGATGGTGTCGGTGACGTTGCGCCAATGCCTACAGTCGTAGCTTTAGGTGTGTGGGTGCGCTTGACGGCTTTCTCTATGTAAGCAGGCGTTGGGACGATTATGAAGTATTTTGAGCGTTGTTGAACGGTAAGGAATAATCTGGCAGACTTCAGTTAAGCTAATAATTACGTTGTTGCAGTTATGAACTCGACGGAACCAGTGATACGCATCGCACCCATACGACCACACGTCGACACAGCTTTCAGTTTTGTCCTTTGCGGATGTCTAAACGCTGTTGGAGGATATGATGGAAGTTCCACTTTGGATACGGTGGAGAGTGAGACATTTGGTCATGCTGTTGGGACTAGAATTATAGAATATTTTTCAAGCAGCACACATCACTCGCAAAATACGGGTGCGACCGCTACTCTCTCACCCTATCTTGCCTTTCCTTACTGGTAGGAGGGGACCGCTTGGCATCATATGTGATCTCCACGCGTGTATGGGGATGAGGACATGGTGAAACTGAGCGGTTCTCTGTACTCCAGGGCAAAGGGGGTAAAGGAATGCAGAGGTTCGAAGCAGTATCTCCTGGGGACCGTCCTTGAGTAGTCATCGTGCACAGTGCTGTGTTTTTGAGTTCGAGGTGAATTTTAGGCTTTGATTGTTTAAAGCATGATTGACTGGAAGACTTTTGATGCGAGAACCCCAGATATCTGCACGCAAAACCTTATCTTTCTGCGGAACTTATCTGTGTGTTTGTGTGCTTGTTCTGGCCACTTCGAAAATGGGAATTGCGTGAAAAAACCACTTTACGAAGCCGGTCATAGGCTGGTATGGATGGGAAACAGGTCACAGTGCAAGGAGCAGACGTAATCCATGCTAAGGCTCCGCTCACAAGGAAGTGGGGGGGGGAGGTTGGTGGTGCACCTAAGTGGGCGGTGAAAG